AGCAGGGGGATGGGGCAGGCGGGGCAGGCGGAGTGGCGGCCGCAGGCGGCGCGGCACCCGGAGACGTCAAGAGCGGTGAGCGGCGGGGCCGGGCCCCGCGGCCTCCCACGGTGGCGCAGGCGGCGGGGGGGACCCGGGGTGCGGCGTGGGGGGACCCGCGGGGCAGGGGCGCGCCCGGCGGGAGGGGATGTGCGGGCGGGTGCCCGGGGCGGAGGGCGAGTGTCGCCCGCGGCCCTGCGCGGCTGCTGCCGGCGGGATCTCCCCGGAGCGCGCGGCGAGGCGGGGGCTGCGCGCCGGGGTGTCCCCGCCCGGTGTCCCTCCCGGCGGCCGCGCTGAAAGCGGCCCCGCTGCACCGTGGGCCGTAGCCTTGGGTGGCGGGGGCCGCCGGCCCGGGAGCGCGGTCCGCAGGCAGAGCGCATCCCCGGCGGGCGGGAGACGCAGCGGCCGCACCTCGTCGGATTCGCTGCTCATTCGAAAAATCCTTGCTTTATTTCATCACGATTGAAAATGGAGTCCTACTTCGCGGTCCGTTTCGTTTGCCGTTGTACAGCAGTTGGGTTTGTCAGGGTAACGTACTCACTTTTTCATCAACCATTTTATGGTGCTTTTGGTCGGTGGGTTGGGTTTTGGTTCGGAGCAATTTTGGTAAGGTGTTTTCTTGCAGAAACTTGCGTTGCTGTTCGTGTTTGTTTTATTGCAAAAGGATATGTCAGGCTAGAACTAAAGGCGGGCAAGGATTTTATTACACTTTTTGCTGAGCCAAAAAAACTCCACCTCTTAGGTCTACTGCTAGGTTTACAAACCGTGGCATGGAGTCCCTACTCTTGACTTTTTTCCTTTCCCAAGTTGGATGTCAGCTTCTTACTCTTGATGCTTTACAAAAAGTGAGAGTGTAGCTACAATTGGTTCTATGCTTTGTGGTGGTAGTTTTGCCTTGGCTGCTTTTAGCCACAAAGGCAGTTTCAAGAGCCATAGTTTGGTTTTCAAGATGTTTGATTCCCGTGTATTATTTAATGGAAACTTTTCCTTGGAAATATTAGCAATTAATTACGAATCACTTCAGCTTACAGGGTGTTTGCCAGACTGCTTTTGTAAGAGTATTACTTACTCCAGAGAATCATGGAGAATGCTTAGAATTTCCTTTTTGGGTTTGTTTTGGTCTTTTTCTTTACTATTTGCTGTAAGTGAGTGAACGACGGGGGAAAAAAAGAAAAAGAAAGGTTACCAGGAGTTAGAGAATTTCTGGAGCATTTTTATCATAACTTCAGTATGGTGTCCAACATTCACTTTGCAGGTGGTGTCTCATACATGACACTGTTGGCTTTCATTTAGGTGGGGAAAAGCAGTGTTTGGAAATTTTTTTGCTCAAGCACAAGTGGCAGCAGAGGTGCATTTCTGGTGTGGCTTTTTGCCTGTGGATAATGAGGTGGTGTTCCATCTGCAGATGCCCCAGGAAGTGATGCCACTGAACACTGTGTGGTGGTACATCTCGCTAGCTAGACAGGTTGTTAGTCTTCTTCAGCTGTAAGACTGTGTGTGCCAGGTGCCTGATGTATCTTTCGTCTGTGCTGGCCAGCTTCCTCTGAAGTTGAGACTTGCCTGTTTGAGATCTAACCTGAGGCGCTCCTTTATTCTCTCTCCCTGCTTCCGTATGTTCTGTATGCTTCCCTGCTTCAGTGTTCAGAAACATCCTTGACCATTTTGCCAAGTCTCTCCCTTCCCCGTTTTTTCCCTTCTCACAACAGATGTACAACATCAGCTTTGACATTTGCTGTAAGTGCCTGGTCAGCACACCTGATCCTTGCCTTGACAGGATCATTGCATCTAGTCGTACCTTTCTTTTCAGATAACCATAAAGGCTGGAGGAGTAGATGTGGTTGCTAGCTTTATTTTACACTGGCTACTGCCCATCAGATAATCCTGAGCTGTAAGTTTCGTGAATTGTATTCTTACTGGTAAGTCCAAAGCTTTCAGCAGTTTTGGTTCAGGAGATGAAAGGAGAAACTGTTCCTGACATGCTACAGAATTAGGAATCTGGCTCTCATATGCAAGGAAAAGATTAGATGATGATAATGGATTCCCTGAAGTCTTCAAAACCGATGAATCTGAAATGAAGCTCTGTACTGTAGCCATAGCCTTGGAGACAGCTAGCCCGTTACTAGACTCAAGACATTTGTAAGAGGCTGTGCACTTTAGGGTTGCTTGATCACTAAGCAGTTTATGGAGGATGTGGCCTGCTGCAGTGAGTGGTGAGGTTAATAGAGTTCTGCTGTACACAATCAAGCCTCGCTTATTCATGGGAGACTATCTGGGTTGTGGATTAAGTGTGCTGGGTGCAGGGAAGCTCTTTGCTGTGCTGCTTTTGGACCGTGCAGCTTCATGCTGTTTCTCCTGCTACTCAGGTTCACTGGTGCTGTGGGTCCCCAGGCTCATTCTTCTCTCCTGCATTGTCACCATATGCTGTTCTAGAGTAATTTGCATATGCCTGGTCTTGTCGGTCTCCTACTCTATCTTTACCCTGGAAAAGCAAGGGATGGTCATAATAACATAACCTGTTTTCTTTCATTAATGTGACAAGACAGAAGTATGCAGAGATGAAAGCATCAGATTTAATAATTGAAAATGTCTTTGCAAACCTAGACTTTCCATCATGATGTCAGTATGACAGTCTAATTATGCAGTCACATCAGGACTCTTCTTCACTCACGAAGAAATAGTGATTTGGATATGGGGTTTCTTAAGTTTTCAGAGTTCATTCTATGTTCCGTGTATTGTTTCTGCCCCCCACTCATGTGCCATAATGAAACAGAATTTTTAATTTCCTCTGGGCTTCTCCGTGCAGCTCTGACTAGTGGTGCTATGTAGTAGGGAACTGCTGTTACAGCACCCCTTTACAGTGGAAAGTTGTTCCCTTTTACTTTTTGATAAATTTTGCTTCAATGCCTGCACAATTTTCCCTCAAACTATCATTCTGTTTTTGGCATGATATCTGAGAAATACCAGCTTTTCCCCTGCCCCAAGAGGGCATCTGTTTATGCTTTTTTGTTGTTGTTGTGATGTTTTAATTTTTGTGTGTTCAGAAATCAAATTGTGCTCGAAGGGTTCTAGACTCGTACATGGGAATCAGGAAGACAGAGAGCATAACTGCTGACAGATGTGATGGCTTTTCTCCATCATGCACTGTGATTTCTTAGCAGGTATTGGGATTCACATTCTGTGGCTGTGCCTTTCATTCCTCTCTCTTCAGTTAGACCAAGCAGAAATTCAATATATAATAGAGTAATCTTTCTTGACGAAAGGAATGGTCATTTTCTGCATTGAATGAGGCACAAGTCGTGGGAGAGAGAAGCGTGGGGTGTGGGTAGAGTAGTTTAACAGTATCATAGTGTACAGGAAGACTGAGCTGTGGTGTCACAGAAAGCCTCATTTCTTAGATTCCTTGTCTTTAGAGTGATTGAATAATGTTTCTAAAAAATTTTTAATTTTCTAGATAGTTTTCTGGGTTACTTTTCATAACCAAACTGAAAAATCTGAGCGGTTATCATGTAACATTATGCCAGCAGCTGCATAGGATTGTGCAACCTCATTGACACCATCATTCCTGATGGTAGTAGTTGGTTCCCTTCATCTGTAGACATAAAGAAATGTAACATTTTGTGGATACTTTGCCTTGATCAGTAGAAGAGGACGATGATTGATGGGGTTTACTTTCAGGTCTGAGGCTCTGAGTAGCAAATTCCTATTCTGTTCCTACCATGCTGAGGCTGGGCACTTTTACACCATCAGCTCCAGCTGTTTTATCCCTTTATCCTCTGAACTTCTTGCTTTAGTCTCCACATGCTATTGTTTCTGACCCTAAAATTCTTTATTCTGTCCATTTTCTTTGACTTGTTTCCATTCTTGGTGTCATTGTCCAGTAGACCCAGGTCCTCTTCCTCCACTTGATGGTTACTATCTTAGCATCTTGCTGCTTCATCCCCTTGTCCTTGTCACTCTGGTCTCTCCAGCACTGGTGCTGTGAAAAGATGAGAGAAGGAAAGAAGCTGGCTCTCCCTACCTGTATTTTCCCCTTTAACATGGGATAAATTAAAGCCAGCTTAATTAAACTTAAAGAAAAAGCTGTTCCTGAATCGTTGTCCTAACAGTATACTGACCACCTGTTTTAAGACCATAATTTTCCCCCTCTGGTATAGGTCAGCCCCTAAACTGCACAAGTGTCAGAGCTGGAAACTTGGTGGGCTGTCAGGTGGAGCGGCCAGCGGTCAGATTTGTGTCAGATTTGAACACTCTTTACCTAAGTTTCACAAATTTTTAAGACTTATGTACTTTCAAATAAAAATGCTAATGTAGAACAAGTGTATGAAGAAGAAAATCAGTCAGCACAACAGTGACTAATGTGTTGAAAACTGTGACTGGCCAGCAATTATGATTTACTAAAAAACAAAAATTATATCCTGGAGGTGGGATAGTTAAAGAGGGCCAGAAAATTTGTCAGTGCAATATTTAATTTAAAAATGTATTTTCAGAGCATGAATTGTAGTAATATTTAAGCCTGGATTAATATTTGCTGTCAAATGTTCCCTGCTGCATATAAAATTCAGTTCCAGTTTGGCACTCTAATGATATTCAGTATTGGCACCTTCTGATTATTTAGCCTGAGGGAGTCCCATTGATATCAGTGAGGCCACCTGGAAAATTAAGTTTCTATTCTGTTGCAGTGACTACAAAATTTAATACCTATTAATTTACTAAAGGGAAATAATTTTGCTTCATAATTCCATTGCATTTGTCTAACTGCAGAAATCAATTGAATGCAAGTTTTGCTGTCTCAATGCAAATCAGGCTTGAAAGGACTTTCATGTTAGTTTTAGAATTTTTAATACTATGCAATTACATGCTTTAGTAGCAAATACAGCTTATGTTCTGCAAATCTTTGCAAATGGAATAATGTCTATAGTATTAATGAATAAAACAAATACTGTTCTTTCATGCAAGCACGTACACACCCATTTAAGGGGTTTTTTTAAAGTTATTTGCTATCAAAATGCTTATCAGTGACCTGACAGCATTCTGTG